ACTTGAGGGAGTAGAATTTATTTATCTATATGTTACGTGATTTAATGTGCGGGTACAATGTATATGTGAGGTGACGAGTATTTATGAGTTGTGGTTGAATCAAAGCATGCTGGAGGAATTTATTTCATTTTGAATAATTGCTTATTTAATTAAGATATTCCTTCTTAAGTTTATTATTGATTATTTGATCATTATTCATGAAATTTTATTGATTTAATTATTGTTGAATATGGTGAGAAAGAGTGTAAAAGAACGAAGGGTGATGCCGTGCCATTTTTATTATTTATACTATCATTGTCATGGTGAGAAAGAGTGTAAAAGCACGAAGGGTAATGCCGTGTCATTTTCAGAGAGTGTAAAAGCACGAATGGTGATGCCGTTCCAAAAGAGAGTTAAAACACGAAGGGTGATGCCGTACCAATTATTATTATTTATTTATCAAATTATGGGAGGAATGAGAGTAAAAGCGTGAAGGGTGGTGTCGTTCCATTTTCATATTATCAGTTGCTCATTTTATTGTTGAGGAATTAATTGGCTTCTAAGTGATACTTCTCATGCTGAAATTGTTATATCATCCCCCTTCGCATGTTCCCTCCTAAATTTATAAATTGTTATTTATGGTATTATTGTTGCTTCGTATATGTATATATACTTGTACAGGTTGTTTACGTACGTGTCTTGTCAAAATCTCGTCACTACTTCATCGAGGTTAGGCTCGACATTTATGGAGTATATGGGGTCGGTTGTACTCATACTACACTCTGCAATTCTTGTGCAGATTTTGGAGTTGGTCCCAGTGGCGTACCATAGACTTGTTCGGATTTAGCTACCCAGAGAAGATTTGAGGTATAACTGCACAACGTTCGCAGTTCTGAAGTCCCCTTCTATATTATCTTAGTTGTGTATTATGTTTCAAACATCTTAAATTCTATTCAGAGCTTTATTGTATTATTTTAGTGGCTCGTGCACTTGTGACACCAGATTCAGGGATGTATTTTGATGACTCGGTAGTTATGATTTTCCGCACTTTATTTCAGTAGTTGATTTCTGTTTAATTTAAATTATTTTAAAATGGTTAAGATTATTCTAACGTTGGCTTGCCTAGCAAGTGAAATGTTAGGCGCCATCACGGTCCTGAAGGTGGGAATTTCGGGTCGTGACAACCTAGCTCGAGGGTGATTAACCTTCCAAGGCTAAGACTGTTCAATTCGTGTGGTTTGCATTTATTTTGTCATTATTTATTTCAATTGCAATCTAATTTATCGTTTTGTGTCAAGTTAGTCCACGTATCCTTAAAACCACTTACAAATTCAATTGTTATCCGATTTTGAGGGTAAACAATTGTATTTTGGTAATTTTACTATATATTTTAATGAGTAAAGTTCATTTGTATTAATGTGAAAATAAATAGTTTTATAATTATTTTTTTATACTGGTAAAGTTCATTGACCATAAGTGGAACTTAAAAAGACTCAAGAGTGAGTTTACAAAGAACTACTTCATCTATTACATTGAGATTTTTTAAATATAAGATGGAGGAGCAAGGTTGCTCAGGTACAAAAGGAAACAAGGATCCTAAAGGATCACAATCAAAGATATACATAAAAGAATAAGGATTGTAATCAGAAAAAATTAATTACAAAATAATGAAAAAGATTACAGTGAATCAAATATAGAAAAATATTATGTTGCTCCGCAAGATAGGCGGTGACTCGACAAGGCCAATATTGGATCGATGACGAAGAAACACTGTATCTGATACCACCTTAATAAGAGAATCAGCAAGCTAAGATTCACAAGGAACATGATGAACAACTGGTGTTTTGTCTCGGACCTGTTATCGTACAAAGTGATAGTAGCGAGCTAAATGCTTCATTCAGCTGTGAAAGATTGGGTTTTGACTGAGAACAATGGCTCCTAGATTATCACAACAAATTGTTGGAGTGTTGGAGGTAGAGAAATGGAGTTCAATCAAAAGGTTGACAATCCATTTAGTTTCTATGGTTGCATTGGCAATGGCCTTGTATTCAGCTTTAGTGGAGGAGCGAGCTACTGTTCGTTGCTTCTTAGAAGACCAACTGATAGGTGAGCCTCCAAGGAACACAACGTAAGCACCAGTGGAGCACCTGTCATATGGATTTCCACCCCAATCAGAGTCCGAGTAAGTAATAAGATCAAACGGGGCACGAGGAGCAAGATAAAGAGAAAGGGTAGATGTAGCCTTGAGATCTCGCAGAACAGGTTTGGCAGCTTGCCAGTGGAGGAGAGCCGGTTGGTGCATGAACTGTGAAAGCCGGTTGAAACAAACGCAATGTCAGGTCGAGTGATAGAGAGGTATTGAAGAGCACCTACAAGCTGACGATATTGCTTTTGATCTGTAGGGGCAGATCCATCTGCAAGCTTAAGTACAACAGAGGCTGCAAGAGGTGTAGTAACACCTTTGACATCAAGCATATTGAACCGCTGAAGAAGATCAGTAATATACTTCTTCTGGGAGAGATAAAGACTTGTGGTAGTTCGACAAACTTCAACACCAAGAAAATAAGTGAGTACAGTCAAGTCTTTGAGCGAGAAGTGGATAGCTAGCGCTTTGTTGACTTGAAGTATCTTGGTGCTAGATGAACCCGTTAAAATAATATCATCTACGTACAAAAGTAGGAAAAGAACAAAACCTGGACCACACATTGTAAACAAAGAGGTATCTGATTTGGAACCAACACACCCAATGGAACATATAAAATTCTTAAACTCAATATACCAAGCTCGAGGTGCTTGACGAAGACCATAGATTGCCTTGCGAAGTCTACAAACATGAGAGGGGTACTGATGGTTCACAAAACCAGAGGTTATTCCATATAAACTTCCACTTCTAAAGTGCATTGCAAGAAGGCATTATTGATATTAAGCTGATAGAGAGGCCACTTGAAATAAGTGGAAAATATGAGAATGGGGCGAATGGTTGTAGGCTTGACTACGGGACTGAATGTGGATTTGAAGTCAATGCCAGGGCGCTAATGGAAACCTTTTGCAATTAACCGAGCTGTTAAATGATCAATGTTGCCATCTATTTTTTGTTTGACCCGAAATACCCACTTGCACCCAATAACATTTTGTGTGGAAGAGGGAGGTACTAGACTCCAAGTTTTGTTCTTCACAAGAGCATCAACCTCTTCTTGCATTGTATCTCGCCATTCTTTAGATTTGGATGCCTGCTTATATATGTAAAGAGTGATCATGGAACCTGTGGATATTACTAAAGCCGAGTAATCAAGAGGCTTCTTTGGTTTAAAGATGTTATGCTGAGAACGAGTAACTATACGAGCAGGTTCAGGAGTAGGGCTACTTACCTCCTGCAAAGGAGAGTTGGAAGCATCTTCACTCAATGCTAGAGTAGAGGTGGACTGTGATTGGACTGGAGACTCATGAGAAGTGGTGGTTGAAGACAAACTAGAAGTAGCAGGTGGTGAAATGATGGTGTCTGATGGCTACAACAGAGGATCTGACATGACAGGGGGTAGAGAAAGGTCATGTGAAGTGATTGTAGTATTGTTCTGATCATGAGAGGTAGGGGTGAGTGATCAGTGGGTACAACATCAAGCCAGATATGGAGATTAGATTCAGTTAGCCTTGGTAAAGAGGAGAACATGGTGGCAAAAGGGAAGTTATTTTCTAAGAAAACAACATGGTGGGAAAGGAAAAGTTTAGAGGAAGAAGGATAAAAACATTTGTAGTAATGATATTTGGTGGAATAGCCAAAAAAGACACATGGTTTGGATTTTGGATCAATTTTATGGTTAGTATAGGGACGTAGCCAAGGATAACACAAGCAACCAAATGTGCGAAGTGAATTATAATTTGGAGGGGTATGAAACAGAGATTCATATGAAGATTTGCCTTGTAGTATCGGCGTGGTCATTCTGTTTATAAGATAGACAGTTGTTGAGAATGCGTAAGGCCAGTATGCAAGTGGTATGGAGGCTTGATTTAAAAGAGTCAAAGTTGTTTCCATAATATGACGATGGCGTCGTTCAGCACTACTAACTCTTTAAGGAGTGTAAGGGGTGAGAAAATTAGGTGTTGAATTCCCATATCTCTAAGTGTTTTTGTGAGACCCTCATATTCTCCACCACCATCAGGATAAACAGTAAGAATTGGAACACTAAAATATTTTTCAATAAGCAATCTGAAGTTGATAAAAATTAAAACAACATCAGATTTCCTTTTTAAAGGGAAAACTATATGTATTTGGTGAAATGACCCATAAAGAAAACATAGAAGTGAAATCCATGAGAGGATGTGACTGGAGAAGGTCCCCATACATCAGTAAATAGTACTTCTAGTGGTCTTGAACTTTTCAAAGTCGATTGTTTAAATGGTAAACGATGAATTTTATTGCAAAGAAAAGAATTACAATGATCTTGATAAGAATTGAAAATGGGCAAATTAAACAGGGAGACAATTGACTTTAGAACTTTTAAATGGGATGACCAAGACGACGATGTCAAAGGGTGAACGAGGAATTGTTGGCAGAAGAAGCAAGATAGGTTGTTGGTGGTGGCGAGGATCCAGTCTATTCATAAGAATTCAACAGATGTTTTATTTTGCTCGTAAAATTGAGGAACAGATATTAAATTGCGATGAATGGAAGGAGCACATAAAATATTTTTTAAAACAAAGTTTCGAGAAGTAGAGGGAAGCGTAGTATGTCCTGTATGGGCAATTTTAATACCATTACCATCACCAACGATTACATCATCGGTACCAGTGTAGTCTGAGTAAGCCTGCAAGTTCTGTGTGTCAGAAATAATGTGGTGTGAAGCCCCAGTATCCATGACCCAATTAGAATTTCCTGATGATCCCTTAACTAAAAAGTTGGCTTGGGGCTCATTTGCATTATGAGAGCGTGACCGGCAAACCTTGTCAATATGTCCAAATTTCTCACATAACTGGCATTGAACTCGAGGTTTATTGTTGTTGGAAGTGGATGAGCGCCAATTCTGCTAGCGATTGGAGTTGTTAGTAGATTGATTCGGACGCCAATTATTGTTTTCATTGGGATACTGTTGGTAGTTTCTTCGGTTGTTATTGCCATTGTAGTTGTTACTGCTATTATAGTTGTTCTGTTGTTGTGGATGGCGATTTTGCTGGTTGGATCTTTGGGTATATTGGGATGTGATGGCAGCAGATTCTTGTCGATGATGAAGGAAAACTTCATGACTACTTAGCTTGTCGAAAAACTCTTCGAGAGTGATGGGTATGTCTCTGGCGCGAATAGCAGCACTCATCTCATTGTATTCAGGACCAAGACCACTAAGAACCTTGATCACAAGGGCGGCACTATCAATAGGGGATCCAGCAATGGAAATTTCATCAGCAAGGGCACGTATCTCATTGAGATATTGAGCGACGGGCTTGGTACCTTTAACAAGGCGATTGAGAGAGCCTTGGAGACCATATACTCTTGTTTGCGACTTGTTTGCATACTGTTGAGTGAGTTTTGTCCAAGCAACATAAGCATTGGGCGCTGTGGCAACAAGAGGAGCAATAGTGGCATCAACCGACGCCATGATGGCATGTCGGATAAGGCTATCTTGTCGGAGCCAATTTTTGTATTTTGGGTCTGTGGCTGGCGGGCATGAAAGTGTTCCATCAATGTATGAAACAAGATCATATCCAAGAAAAAGTATCTCATGTTGTGCTTTCCATGTTAGGAAATTGCTGCTACCAGTCAACTTGATTGGAAGTTGAGAGGTTGGGTTGATTGTGATAAACTAGCTAGCTTGAGCGATTGGATTAATAACACCATGAGAAGGAAGAATAGATGAACTGGAATTAGTAGATGAAGTTGGCATAATTGGGGTGGTTATTGAACTTGAGTTGACAGTCATGGTAGCGAAGGGAAGTTGAATAACACCAGCAAAGGAAAGGATTGGAAAAAAAAACTCGTTAGAGCGTAAAGGCTCTTGATACCATAAAGAGATTCAAGAGTGAGTTTACAGAGAACTACTTCATCTATTACATTGAGATTCTTTAAATACAAGATGGAGGAGCAAGGTTGCTCATGTACAAAAGGAAAGAAGGATCCTAAAGGATCGTAATCAAAGATATACATAAAACAATAAGGATTGTAATCAGAAAAAATAAATTACAGAATAATGAAAAAGATTACAGTGAATCAAATATAGAAAAATATTTTGTTGCCTTATTAGAACTAACCCAATTTTACGTCCGCTTGTTAAAAAATTGGACCGTCTTTAATTGGATTGGAGAAGAACACTCGCAGGCGTGCAGGCGTCTTGAGTAAGTGCCAGTTAAACAGAAGGTTTAGCATGAAGTGGTGGTTCTAAAGGGGCGAAGTATTCTCGATGTTTAGTTTGACTCATTGTATATTTGTGCATTCGGTTCAAACTGTTCAACTCACCTAAACTCCTCGGGTAGTACTCACATACTAATAGTATTTATTTATCAAACACTAATGTTGGCATCCATTGTATGGTAAACAGAAAGAAAAAAAAAAAAACTTATTGAAGCTGGTAAACTAATTTTTACGTTACAATATAGAAGCAAAATTAAGGAACTACGTACAAGGATAGTAAGTACTACTATCACTCAAGTGACAGTGTAGCCTTATTAAATTGAGAGATTTCTGCCAAGAAACATCTTTGCCTTCACTAGTTCGACTCATTTCACCACTGAGCAAAATTATAGGAAATTATTGAATAGGTGACATGCATTAAATTCCTAATCAAGACTTGCTTATTCATGCTCTAGCTTATTGAACATCAGTGCCACCTTTCTTCCTTGAAAAGATAGCCCCAATAAGTGGGATAAGGGGTTTCGTTTTCTTCTTCTTGAGGGAGGGATGCCTCTGCAATATAACATGATCATCACCTAATTTTGGAATATTAACAACATGGCTTAAAATAGGAGGATTTTCAAAAGTCACATATCTTTTCTTTTGAAACTCAACGTTTTCGGATGCCATATTAATATCTAGTTTCGTTGTCATGTCCTCAACAAACTTGAGATCTTCAATCTCTGATTGTAATTTCTCAGATTGTTGCCCAATTTCCTTTAGGTTTTCGAGCTCTTTCCTTGTGCGTTCAAGCTCTTCTTCTAAAGAAGAGAGACAAGTCGCCATGAACAAGCTTTCTTCTCGTGCTTTTTGTAGCCTTTGCTTTGTCTCCTCTAGTTCAGCAGTTACAATTCCTAGCTTAGAAGGGACGTTGTCACTTTCACTCTCTCCATCTTGCATCTGTTCATCGAAAAAGAGAAAAGTTCACTGTAAAATATATAGTAGTACTATTTGTTTTAGTACTCTTTAACGGATTCCTTGAAATATTTTTAATTACACTTTGATTGTTCCTCAATCTTGTACGTCAATACTCTGCTATGTACTACTCCCTCATATTCAATTTGTTTGAATCTTTAGTAGGGTCAAATCCACTAATTTTTCATATAAATTCGAACATAAATTCTTTAAGTTTTGTGAAATAAAATTTAAAAATTATATAAAAAGATATTATAAGCCACAATAATTAACAATCTAAAATATTTAAAAATTATTTACAAAACATATAGTAAAAGAATCTTATTTGCCTCCTTAAATTGTAACAGATTCATTCTCTTCTAAAGGAAAGGAATATTTAATTCTTTTATCAGTCAGTGCACCTCTAATATTGCTATTACAAGTTCTTTCTCTATTATGTCATCCTTTTATTCCTTAACACGTTACACGAGAAAGAAATACTTGTATTAGTGCCTAAGCAAATTAAAGCCTTTTTCTTTTAACTCTTTTCCAAAGCACATACGCAATATTCGTAAGTTTACATAATGTCAAACATACTTATTCCCTCCCTCCTACTATATGTGACACGATTCAGAGCATGAAGGTCAAACTATCTAATTTTTTAGTATAAATACGGATATAAAATCTTTAAGCTTTGAAATAAAATTTACGTATTTAAAAAGTATTATAAGTCATAACAATTAACATTTTAAAATATTGAAAAAACATATGTAAAAATCGCTATCAAAGAAAAATTACTTTTAACTATCCAAAAACAATCACTATATCTCATTAAGTGGGACAGAGGGAGTACCAAGTAACAGCAAAAGTTTGTCTCTTGAAACCATATAAGATCAAATTAAAAGAAGCATCTTGGCTAATCACAAGCATAAAAGTTAAATGGCATGAAATTGTAGAATTATGGGTTCGGGATGACGGAGCCCGCAATATTTTAAATGAGCTTCTAACGGAAGACGGGAGATAAAGGTCATATTTTAATATGAAAATATATAGAAATACTTTTATAAGGAGAAGAAAATAGACTTAGTAAATCTAGCGAGTGGGATGGAGTAATTGGTATTTACTTATTATGCGCCCTCGTTTCAATATTTATTGTCTAATGTTGATATATTTGAGTAAAGTAAAGTAAAATAGTTAGAATGATGATCATTATATATGTAACACAGAGAATCTCTTAAAAAACAAAGATCCTTTGAGAGAGTATTGATTCAATTTGGACAAATAAAATGAGAATACAACCAAAAAACGAGAATTTAAATGGGGAAGGGGTGCAGAATATTAAAGTGGGAGAATAGAAGATAAAGGACCTGTTTGAGCTTATTAGGAGAATAGAGTTCTCCGGCAAGAAGTCTTTCGCCAAATAACGTGACAGCTTCCTTCACTGAACGAAAAGGTGCACTTGTGTCTATCTCTGCCTTTGATCTCATCATCTTCACACCACCTTCACTAACTACTTCCATTTTGTTCAATATTATATAGGAAATAATATGGCTATATATATTTCCCACTATATGAATATATAGTTTCAAGACTGGTAGTGTTTGGTAGTTCGTATATATGTAAAGTAGTAATGGAGTAGTGCGTTTGCTGAGGTAGAAATTTAAAAGAGGGAGCAGCTACAGAGAGTATGGCAAGTGGAGCGCTTCTTTTCTTCGCGTCCACTTCACTTGATTTATTCTGTTATACACCGTACCTTTTTTATTTCTTTCTTTCCTTCTTTTATTTAGGTTCCTTCCATTAATGTAAAATACTAAATGCATTTAACTTTTGGGAAGCTTTTTTTAAATTATTTTTTTCCGGGATTTAATTGGGTATTAAGGTAAAAACTTACTGGAATTTATATTAAACTTACGAATTTACCATGGTTATATTATAAATTATGGTGAGAGTGTATATTAATTAACTTTAATTTAGTGATAAGTATGATAATGTATTTATTTATTTGATGTAAATATTAAGAGTGAATAAGTTTTTTTACCGGTAACTAGCATAATTGAGAGATGCAGAATAATGATTCGAGTATTCAAAGATTAAAGTAATGGTTTTACATGTTAGTCTCAAATACACGAACAAAGTGAGTTTAAGATAATTGTCGCGGGGGGGAATAACTTAAGCACGTTTGTTTACCCGAAAAACGGATAGAGTTGAATTTATACGTAGTTCTAAAGATACGTGATATAAATTGATATAAATTGGGAAATATATGTAAATGAATATCGAAATTAGTTATAAAAGAAATGAATGCAAACCGAATGAACTATTTAGCATATACCTTCAAGTTTTATCATCTCCAAATTGAGTGAAGAATGATTGGCAGAGGGAACAATATGACTAAATACCAAAAGCCAAAAAAGGATAGTACTTGCTCTCTTTTCTTATATCTCAAAATGAATCCGATACTCTACAAATGATAACAACTCTTTAATATAGTGGGGGAATCTTATTTTGGAAATAATTAAAAATACATAGTGGGGATTCCATGATAGATTAATTAATTAGCTTTTCCTTGATTCAAACCGTTATTTCCGCCGAGATTCTCCCCCCAATTGCGGTTATAACGCCTTTTTTATTTCTTGGCTCGACCTCGATCTTGGCCGATCTCGGTATTGATCGGTCTCTAGGACTCGAGCTCGATCTTGACTCGATCTCGATCTTGGCCGGTCTCGGTATTGATCGGTCTCTGGGACTCGAGCTCGACAATCTAACTTCGCATCATGGCTCGATATTACAATGATGAACCTTGGACCATCATGTTCCAATCTCGATTAATCATAAGAATGGCAGACTCGGTTTTGACCGTATACAAATAGTCCTCTCGTTTCTCGAAAAAAAAATGACGAGTAATGATATGAATTTCCGAACTTCAACTTGGTGGATGATGATGTTAGCGACGATCCCGATTATGACGTATTTTACAAACGTCCCGTCGCTCCAGTTACCAAGGCATTAAATGCGCGTCAGTACGATGGTCGGCCACTACCAGTTTTGAACCGTCGTTGTGAAACCAATAAATATCCCTCTTCTTCATCATTCCAAACTTTTACTTTCAAATCTTTTTCATTCCGATCTTCATAGTTCTTTACCTTCTCCAAAGCTCCCTATTTTCAGGTTTTCAAATTTCTTTGATTATTCTTCCTAAAATACCAAATACTTCCATCTTCATTCTTCTTTGTTCACAAAAACTAAATGGCCAAAACATCAAAAACCGTTCCACAAAACGAGGTTGCTTCCTCATCTCCGTCGGCCGGCGAGAAACCAGTGGTGGAGCCATGCTTTGAAGAACTTATTCCTGGGGTGTGTGGTATTGATTCCGACTTTAAGGTCGAGAAACCCTCATCGGTTGCTGGTCTATAAGAGCCGGTATCAAGATATATATGCTCGATATCCAAAAGTCTTCTCTGACTGTTTACACTTATCCTTTCACGCTAGGTCCCCTCGATCCGGTCATCATTGATTTCTGCAAGAAATACCAGGTGACCCTCGACCAAGTTTACCCTTCTTTCTGGAGGATCGTGATACTGCTCCGTTACTTCGTGAGCAAAATCAACGGGTTTCCCTTCACCCTCGACTATCTCTTAAGATTATATAGCCCTCGACTCTACTGAGGTGGGATGATAAAGCTTCAACATCGGGCCACCAAGACGTTTACCTCGAGTATAGTGAAGACAAAGATCGGGGTTGGATGGGCTGGTTCGTTCGAGTGAAGACCTAATCCCAGCTGAGAACATGCCATTTCCTGAGAAATGGAATATGAAACGTAAATATGATCCCGTTTTTAATTTCCGTTTATTTTTTTTCTTCTTCATCCTTTCTTATTAGTGTTTTTATCGATGCAACCGTTGCTTGGATGTTGCGTGTGGTTCCCCACCTCGAGAACTGGATCAGGAGCCTGGTTTCGACGTCAACATATGCCGAGCGCACGTGGCACAATTTGTCAAAGGGACGGTGAGAGGCTCGTACTCATGGTAAGCCTTCTTCTTGGCTTACCAATTTGCCTATCATTCAAGCATGAGCTTACTTATTTTCTCCGTTTGTAGGTCTCAAAAAGGATGCGTCTATGAGACCCCCGTCCGGTGATGAAGAAGCTTCACCTCCTATCTCGAGACTAGCGAATGTGATTAAGAGAAAAAGGGCCTCGAACTCCGAGGGTCAAAAACCCAAGAAGAGAGCGGCCCGTAAACCCAAGGGGAACACAACCCCGTTGACTATGGAGTCAATCCAAAGACTAAGGGATGAAGAAGAAGAAAAAAAGAAAAAGAAGAAGAAGAAGAAGAAGAAGAAGAAGAAGAAGAAGAAGAAGAAGAAGAAGAAGAAGAAGAAGAAGAAGAAGGTGATTCTGGGCTGGTGACCCGTGCACGAGCTAGCACCGATATTCAGAAAACTTCAGAACCGGTGGGGGTTAATAGTGCTCTGTCTAGGCTCGATGAGTAGACTCCGGCCCAAGTTCCTGAGCCGAGGGGAACTGAAGATGTTTTAGCTCTGGGCGAAAAGACCGTTGAAGAGGCGGTGGATGTTGATGCAAAAATCGGGCTCAAGGCTCATCAAGCCGGAGGCGGCGGCCCAAAAAATGTACTTGGGGGAAATAGAGATCAGGGATTCTCCCTAGTTTCCTTCATTTTCCCAGTCGATGATACATGACGCTCAAGCCGTGGAGACTTATCACGGGGAGGGAGCCCATGGAGAGGAAGACCCTTTCCGTGGTTATTTTGTTGGGGTAGAAGATGTCACCGGTCTGAGTGACTTGGAGGCTCCGAAAAAGAGCTCGGGCGAGGTGGGAGCATCTTGTCTTTTCAATGAAGCTCAACTAGCCCTGAATCGGGTAAGTTCATATTTTCTTTGTCAATTTTCATACTTGTATTTTTCTTTCCTTGTATAATTCCTTATTTTTATTTTTGTAGGCCTCTGTGCTTCATCACGAGGCATTTTTTTGAGGGGAGTTGAGCCGATGCGAATTCGAAATACGAGGGCTTACTGAGGATAAAGATGCCTTCAAGCTTCTTAGTGAGCAGAGAGAAGGAGAAGCAAAAGGACTTCGGGTTGAGCTAGAAGTAGCTCGGAAAGAACACGCTGATCTGGCCGAGCAGGTAAAAATAATCTTTGAAGTTAATGACACTGACTAGGGCGTGATGGATAACAGTTCGGTCCCACAGATCCATCAAAAGTTTGATATGATCAGACAGCTTCGTGTTAAAGTGGACGCAATGAAAGTGGAGGCCGAGGAGTGGAAGAAGAACATGGACCGCCTTGCCTCAAAAAAGGACGTTGCCCGAGCTCAACTGGCCTCGGTTGAGACCCAACTCCGAAGCTTGAAAGAGAAGGCCTTGGTGCAAGCCAAGAAAATCGAGGAGTTCCAGTCTCGGTTGGGCTCAGCAAATTCTGATCGAGAGATACTGGCCACAGAACTTGCAGAGGCCAAATCAGAGGTTGAAATAGCCACGACTAATGTTGATGCAATGTTGGTCGTTTACCGGTCCGATGCTGAAGTTGCTCAGGTTCGAGCAAAGGAGGTTACCAAGGCTACTCAGGCTCGAGAAAACTGAGTTGCCGAGCATGCTAAATGCCAGTCTCGAGGAGATCCATACTAGTGGCTTCGATCTTACAACCGAGATCGAGAATGCTAAGGTACGAGATATAGGTTAAGAAGAATGCAATGCGTGCTTTCAAACCTCACCGGAAAACTCATTTGGGACAAAACTGGTCTAAGGAAAAAAGAGTGCAACGCGTGCTTTCAAACCTAAAGGCTTCCGTGTTGAAGAATCCATCGTTGTTTCTGGTCGAACACCTACAAGGGTTAGTTTTGAAAGATAAATGAAAATGGGAGGGGTCGTACCTTAGCAGTAATATCATTTTAGGTGCGATACGTTCCAATTGCTCGGTAGTTATTTGTCGTTTATCATGCCGAGCTTGAAGAATTATTTTCCAATAATTTTGAGAACCTGATACGGTCCTTCCCAGTTTGGACCCAGTTTTCCTTCATTCGGATTTCGGGTATTGAGGGTGACTTTTCTTAGCACCAAGTCCCCGATGTTAAAATGTCGAAGATTGGTTCTTCGATTATAGTACCTTTCGATCTACTATTTTTGGGCGGTCAATCGGACGAGAGCGGCTTGCGTCTTTCGTCCAACAATTTTAGGCCCGTATTCATGATCTCGTTATTCGACTCCTCTGTTGCACATCGAAACCTGATGCTAGGTTCTCCGACCTCATCCAAGATCAGAGCTTCGTCGCCATAAACCAAAAAGAAAGGTGTTGCTCTGGTACTAGATTTTGATGTTGTGCGGTATGCCCATAGTATTTCTCTCCATTTTCCTTTGGCGTCGATCAATCTATTCTTAATATTTTGGATGATGGTTTTGTTGGTCGATTCGGCTTTTCCATTCCCGCTGGGATGATAAGGTGTTGATAGGATCCTTTTGATCTTGTAATCCTCGAGAAATTTAGTTACTTTGTTATCGATGAATTGTTTTCCATAAACACATACAATCTCAGTTGGTATCCCGAATCGACACATGATGTGGTCCCAAATGAAGTCTATGACTTCCTTT